GCGGTTGAGAGTCCGCCTGCCAATACAGGGAACACGGGTTCGTGTCCCGGTCCGGGAAGATCCCACATGCCACGGAGCGGCTGGGCCCGTGAGCCATGGTCGCTGAGCCTGCGCGTCCGGAGCCTGTGCTCCGCAACGGGAGAGGCCACAACAGTGAGAGGCCCGCAAAAAAAAAAAAAAAAAAAAAAAGTCATCCAGAAACATCTGTTATTGTCCTGGCCTAGGAATTGTTCATCTCTCTCTACCTACATGCTGATATTTTTAAGCTATTCCTTCTAGCTCACATATTTTTAGGGCTACCTGAATTGTTTATCAGTCAAATCTCTATATTTTGAGATATATTTCATTGAATCAATATAGTTATGGATTATCCTGTATTATAAGATATCCTTTAATTATCCTGTATTATAGTCCATGATATACACACTTATTTTTTAATAAATGAAACACTTAATGAAACTGTTTAATTAAACTGTTAAAGTTCATTGTTATATAATATAGTTGAGTACAGTTGAGGTCTCAGAGGGACAGGTTAAAAACCATACTACTTATACATCCCACTCTACCTTTTTAAATTAAAGTCTAAGTGTTATTAAGTACCTATTTTCTCTAGGATGGAATATAAGCAATTCTCTATTATTTGAATAGTAGAGTAGTAGAGAAAATGAGTAGAACAAATGATCCAAAATAGTGAAATATAAGAAAAAAATGTTTGATATATAAAAATATAAGAATTATTTTCTACAATACATTTTACCTTTCTGAACTTATTTTACTTATTAAATTTAGCTTGCAGATCTCATGCACATGCTAAATGAAAGCAGGAAGCACTGGTCTGAAAGTACAATCATAAAATTAAATATAATAATGAATGTAATAAAATGTAGGACAAGTCCCTGAATGATACCTGAAAATTGACTATAAATTATTACCCACTGTAACAGAAAATGGAAAACTCTCCTATGAGAGCATTTCTCAGGATGAACCAGGTCAGGAGAAAAACAAATTTTACCTAAAAGTACCCTGAAGACTCTGGGCAGCTTAACTAGAATTTTACAACTGATTTAGCTGAGAGTAGAGATTGAATTATCAGAAAAAGGATGATCAAAATGAGTTAAGAGTCCCCTGGAGGCTGAATGCACTCTCTTTCATTGTCTTATATGAAATTTATATCAGTATATATAAATTTCATGGTAAAGAAAGAACTTTCATGTTAAAGAGAGAAACTCTTTTATATAAGTATATAAATTTATATAAGTATATATACACACTCCTGAGTCCATAGAGAAATTAAAGCAAAGAGATGTAAGTGAAATTGTTTGAAATTAGGGAGAAATGGAATCCAACTCCAGCAGCCTTAAGTATTCTACCTAATTTTCTTTTAATCCATGTAGTATCCTACATTTTTTCTAGAATCCTTCAATATTTAGCATATGTTAGAAATACTCTGTGCTCTCAATGTCATTAGTACTGCCCCTCCTTTCCAATTCACTGATAGCTATTGCTGACATTTACTGAGCTCTTCATAAAAACCCCTGCACTGCCATTTAATCCTCACGTGAACTTTGTAAAGCACAATGATTATCTCCATTTTACAGATGAGTGGGCTGAGACACGCAGCTCCAGAGCCTGTGTATTGAATGGCGACCCCCAAAAGGCACGTCCATGTCCTAACCTCGGGAACCTGTGAATGTGACCTTATTTGGAAAAATGGTCTTTGTAGCTGTAATTAAGTTAAAGACCTTGCGATGATGAGATCATCTTGGGTTATCTGGATGGGCCCTAAATCCACTGATAAGTGTCCTCACAAGAGCAGACGCACACAGACGAGAAGGCCATGTGAAGATAGAGGCAGAGACTGGAGTGATGTGGCCACAAGTCAAGAGTGATTGAAACCACTGGAAGGAAACTGGCAAAGAAAGGAAGTGAGCCTCTCCCCGGGACCCCTGGCACAGTCCCCACCAGACTTTGGACTTCTAGCTTCTAGAACTGTGAGATAATAAATTTCTGTTTAAGCCACACAGCTTGTAGTAATTTGTTATGGCCGCCCTAGAAAATTAAGACAATCACCACGCTATAATGCCACTGTTCTAGGAACATTAAGGGCCTCTCTACTACCATGCCATAGTTTGACTCTTCGGAAAGATCTAACAGAGTTTCTCTCTTTACCATGAAAGTACCCTCCACAAATAATTCTTTCAGGGGAAACATTTTCCTGAATGTGGTGTCTGTTAATAGTGCTTCTATACTTACTTCTACAATTCAGAATCTATTGTTTCTTTTCTACTCAGTTTTTATTTTACGGCAATGTAGGTTTTTTCCAGTTAAAACAATAAAAACCTTCTCTAGGTCCATCCACCACACTACAAATAACTCAATTTCATTTCTTTTTATGGCTGAGTAATAGTCCATTGTATATATGTGCCACATCTTCTTTATCCATTCATCTGTCAATGGACACTTAGGTTGCTTCCATGTCCTGGCTATTGTAAATAGAGTTGCAATGAACATTTTGGTACATGACTCTTTTTGAATTATGGTTTTCTCAGGGTATACGCCCAGTAGTGGGATTGCTGGGTCGTATGGCCGTTCTATTTTTAGTTTTTTAAGGAACCTCCATACTGTTCTCCATAGTGGCTGTATCAATTTACATTCCCACCAACAGTGCAAGAGGATTCCCTTTTCACCACACCCTCTCCAGCATTTATTGTTTGTAGATTTTTTGATGATGGCCATTCTGACCAGTGTGAGATGATAGTGAAGTAAGTCAGAAAGAGAAAAACAAATACTGTATGCTAACACATATATATGGAATCTAAAAAAAAAAAAAAGGTCATGAAGAACCTAGGGGTAAAATGGGAATAAAGACACAGACCTACTAGAGAATGGACTTGAGGATACTGGGAGGGGGAAGGGTAAGCTGGGACAAAGTGAGAGAGTGGCATGGACATATATACACTACCAAACGTAAAATAGATAGCTAGTGGGAAGCAGCCGCATTGCACAGGGAGATCAGCTTGATGCTTTGTGACCACCTAGAGGGGTGGGATAGGGAGGGTGGGAGGGAGGGAGACGCAAGAGGGAAGAGGTATGGGAACATATGTATATGTATAACTGATTCACTTTGTTATAAAGCAGAAACGAACACACCATTGTAAAGCTTATACTCCAAAGCATTGTAAAGCATTGTAAAATTATACTCCAATAAAGATGTTAAAAAAATAATAATAATAAAAACCTTTGTCTATTCAAAACTTTCTTTGTACATTAAATTAGTACAAATAACATGGAACCTATCTGTACTTAAAAATGCAATTCATGTTCTCATTACTACTCTGAAAACTTTCTAACATTTTAATTCAGAAAATAATTGATGTTATATATGATTATGTACTTAACAGTGCTTTGAAATTTTAAAAAACTGTATACTTACTAATTCAGATATTCCATAACATACTTTTACTGATTTACTCTCACTGAAAATTATTACTTCAATATAATATAATATTGAAATTACATTATTTCAATATAATATAATATTGAAATTGTATTACTTCAAAAAGGTGGGAATGCGTTCAAAGGTACAAACTTCTAGTTATAAAATAAATAAGTCATGGAGATGTAATGTACAGCATGGTGACTATGGTTAATAATACCATATTGTTGGGCTTCCCTGGTGGTGCAGTGGTTGAGAGTCCGCCTGCTGATGCAGGGGACACGGGTTCGTGCCCCGGTCCGGGAAGATCCCGCATGCCGCGGAGTGGCTGGACCCATGAGCCATGGCCGCTGAGCCTGCGCGTCCGGAGCCTGTGCTCCACAACGAGAGAGGCCACAACAGTGAGAGGCCCGCGTACCACAATAAAAAAATAAAAAAAATAAAAAACATGTTGTATATTTGAAAGTTAAGAGAGATCTCAAAAGTTCTCATCACAAGAAAAAAAATTTGTAACTGTGTGGTGATGGATATTAACTAGACCTATTGTAGTGATCACTTCACAATATACACATACATTGTATCTTTAGGTTGTACACCTGAGACTAATATAATGTTATATGTCAATTATACCTCAATTTAAAAAAAAAAGAAATGAGCTTACAAGACACAAGTACACCGACTCACATGTTCTCCCCCACCCTCCCAAAAAAGAAAATTCTTTCTAATCCTATTCGATATTGTGCTGGACAGTCTCTGTCGCTCTGCATCTACCCTTCACCCTCCTCACCCTGCTCTGGGCTCCAGTGTGGACCGTAAGAATCACCCAGCATCTCACCCGTACCTGATTTAGATGAGATTTGGGACTTCTGAACTGATGATATTGGGATGAGATTTTGGATCTCATCTATTGCACTCATATCAATTGCTCACCCCTGCCCAATTGTTGTGGGTGAGTTCAGTCGGTAGGAGGCCCTGGCAGAGGAGAGGGCAAGAGGAGAGTGAGGTCAGGGCATCTATTCCTTCTTCTCTCTCCCTGCAGGACTGAAGGGCTGGCAGTGGCTGTGCCCCTCTGTCTCGAGTCACAGAACTTGGCTTGTCGGGAGACCCCCTGCCCACAACTACAGCTTTTTCCAGGTCTGCCTGCTCTTTGCCTCTTTCAAGTCTTGAGTAGTGGAACTGCATCGCATTATCATGAGACCCTAGTGCCTCTCATCCTTACTTGTTCTCTTAACCCTGCCCACACCGCCATAAATCGTCTCTCCAAAAAAATCTTTTCCATCGCCCTTGGAGTGTGCTGTCTTCTACCAGACCCTCAGCGAAACAGCTACTGACTACCCCAGCTGATAACCTCCATCTAATAGCCTGAATGATTTCTTCCCATAAATCAAATTATCCCAGATTTCCCAAAAATGTCTACTTCAAAAGGATTACAACTGGTGTGGGATTTTTTTTTTCCTTTAACAACAACCAAAATAAAAGTGGGTAGCTCGGGATGATTTTGTTCTTCTCAGACACTTCTGCTACCACTGACTCTTATCACTGAATGCTTTTCATTCCAAAATACCTGTCATCACCATCACCGATGCACTCGGGGAAGGCAAGGCTGCAGCCAAAAAGCATGATATGTTGATAGCAACCAAGGCGATGGAGGTACATGAAGAACTTGAGGAACTTCTCCATTTCCATGTTTTTGACAATAGAGAGGAGAGGTGTCAGCGTGGTGTGGTAGGGCAGCATCTGACACTGGCTGTGAGTGATGTTCATGCAGGCACCTGAGAAGGCAAGACAATTATGTTTAGGAAAAGACACATCAGAATTATATGTTTATAAACTCATTTGATATGATAGACTAATGTGTTCATACAATAAAATATATTCTGTAAGTCAGAATGATTATAGATATACAGTAAGGCACATACATACATAGCAGCATTATTTATAATTGCCAAGATATGGAAGCGACCTAAGTGTCCATCAACAGATGAATGAATAAAGATGTGGTGTATATATATATATATATATATATATATACCACGTCTGTATTGTATAATACGGGAAATGTAACCAATATTTTATAGTAACTATAAATGGAGTGTAACCTTTAAAAATTGTATAAAAATAAATTTTTTTAAAAGAAAGCAAGAAAAAAGTGTGTGTGTGTGTGTGTGTGTGTGGTCATGAAATCAAGCTGTCAATACTCACAAAGGGATAGCATCTGTGTGCTGGGAAAATGTGTGGAAAAATACACTCTCACACCTAGCCAATGGGCAATCACTATTCTGGATCACAGCTGGGAAGGGCAATATGTATCAAACAAATATTTTAAACATGCATAGCCTTTGACACTGTAATATCTCTAAAAATTTATAAGGAATTAATCATGGTTGTGCACATGGATTTATCTACAGGGATCTTCATCTCTGCACAGTTTGTACTTTTTAAAAGATAGCAATCACCTAAACATTCAACAAAGGGAACTGGTTTAAAATATTATGGAACAAACAACAGAATGCTCAGCTACATGAAAGATGCCTTAGAAGACTATTAATCACATAGAATGAGGCTTATGATAAAAATTGCAAATCACAAAACAATATGTATACCATGATCCTGCCTTTAAAAATACACGATTATTCAAGGATTTCCAACCCTGCCCATGTTTAGGGTCAGCTCAGAGGCTCTGACCTCATTTTCTTCCAAGCTGGCTCTCCCGAGCATTACCACCTCCATGGCCTTTCCTTCTCCTTCATGCCATAAATTTGCATGGTTGGCCAAAAACTTAAGGGCATGACATTTTTTGGGACCTCATCAAACTCATAATACAAAATGGGAAATAAAAGAATCAGAAAAGAAGAAAAATCCAGATTAAAATCTGTATATAGAACACAGACATAAACATGAATTCAGCTTTGCATGAGGGCCGAGGTGGGGAGTTCGGGGCAAGTTTCACAAGTATGACACTCAAATCTTTTAGGAGGGAAGTTAAAATGCATTTCAGTTTGGGGAGCATTAGAGGCTGGAAGAAGGTATAGAGAGTAGACTTCAAAATGACACAATTATATGTATTGTGCTATAAGCAGAAAAGCTTGCTTAGAGGAGCTAAGAGTAAATTTATCTCCAACAAAAATATGAAATCATTCATGAAGAATTCAGTATTAAGAAAACATTTATTACAAATCAAGCTTGTGCCAGGCACCACAACAGGTACTCAGATCTCCTAGTTCAGAATTATCTCATTTTCACAACCCAGTAAAGTGATATCATATCTATATTACACATGAGGAAATTCAATATCAGAAACCCTAAGACATCTGCCCAGGAGTGCACAGCTATTATGTGGAAATTCCAGATCTTCAAAGCTATACTTTCTGAGAAATTTCCATTTGGAGCCACCTTAAGCTAATGCAAAGGGGGTTATGATGTGAAAAACAGTTCTTAAGGAAGTTAATTCCTAATGGCCCATGAAAGGAAGAGGCTAAAAAGCACATAGTGATATATCACATAGTCTGTATTTAAATGCATAGATAATATACCATGTATTCTGATCACATTTTCATTCATTTTACATTGCATTATTTTCTTTAGGGGTCATCAGCTTTGGGGTTTATACACTTGATTATAAACCATATTTGGTGAGATGACCAAAAGGCTCATTTACCCCACCGAGGCAAAGAAAACACAACACCGAGAGAGCATTTGAAAAATACATGATAATGAGGAAAATCATATTTTGGTTGGCTATACTATGTTCATGGCAGTGTGAGTTGCACAAAAGAGATTTCCTAATAGCAAATTCCCTTGGGAAAAGAGAAAATGATAAAATAATAGTCTGAAACCTTAAAATATGTCTCAAAATAATTGGTATGGACAAAAATAATAATGTCTTATATTTATAAAATGGTTTTCTAAAGTTTTCCAAACCACTCTTATTAGGATTATAATCTCTCATTATAAATGAAGAAACTAAGGCTCTCATAGGTATGTAGGTAGATAGAAAGGTGATGGATGGATGGACGGGATGGGTAGACAAATAGGTAGCCAGGGAGACAGACAAAAAGTGATTTGCAGGGACTTCCCTGGTGGCGCAGTGGTTAAGAATCCACCTGCCAATGCAGGGCACACAGGTTCAATCCCTGGTCCAGGAAGATACCACATGCCACAGAGCAACTAAGCCCATGCACCACAACTACTGAGCCTGTGCTCTAGAGCCCGAGAGCCACAACTATTGAGCCCATGCGCTGCAACTACTGAAGCTTGTGTGCCTAGAGCCCATGCTCTGCAACAAGAGAAGCCACCACAATAAGCCCGCGCACCACAGTGAAGAGTAGCTGTGGTGTACCCGCTCGCAGCCACTAGAGAAAGCCTGTGCAGCCAAAGATAAATAAATTAATTAATTATTTTAAAAAGTGATTTGCAGATGGACACCCAGTCAGTAATAGAAGCGGAACTGATACATGTGTCCTCCACCTCTTAGGACAACATTCTTCCCACTATACCGCAGCTGTCAATAGCAGAGCAAATGCCAAAGCAATTCAAAAGAGCAAGAATTCAATGTAGAGTGAACAATCAGGGAAGATTTAATGAAGAGGAAGAACTTGATTTGCTGGTTGAAAGATATCTAAGGTCTGGACTGGCAGAAGGGTTAAAAACTGAGAGAGAAGCATTGACATATATACACTACCAAATGTAAAATAGATAGCTAGTGGGAAGCAGCCACACAGCACAGGGAGATCAGGTTGGTGCTTTGTGTCCACCTAGAGGGGTGGGATAGGGAGGGTGGGAGGGAGATGCAAGGAGGAGGGGATATAGGGACATATGTATACATATAGCTGATTCACTTTGTTATACAGCAGAAACCAACAACATTGTAAAGCAATTATACTCCCATAAAGATGTTAAAAAAAAAAACAAAACAGGGTACTTAACGAGTGGTAGAGAAAAATTACTACAAAGACAGAATCATAATTGCACGTAACACAGAATGACCAAAACACTTGAATCTGGGCAGAAAGGTTCAACAAACTTAGCTGAGAATTTGCTAACAGCCAACAAATATAGAAGGGAATTACTCTTTAAGACTCTTGATTTCAGGCCTTTTATATTCAAGTAACTGTGTAAATTTCCTATCATTCCTACTGTCTCAACCTGTGTGCCAAATATTCTTTTTTCCCAGAATGTTCCATTGTCTTTGAAACATGTAACTCTAGTTTTGTATTTGTGCACATTCTCACGGGGGGCAAATGAGTTTTCATAAGTCAGCTACATGCTGGGCACCAGGCAGAGTCATTTCTCTGAGGGGAAAGGGAAGGGCACTTTTGGAAATGGACTCATTTGTTGCTGCTCCCTCTAATTTGGTTTTCATAGGGTAAAGAAAAGGGTGGAATGTTTGTTTTTCTTCCCTGAGAATTTACTACTCAGTCTAATAGAAATTAGAAGTCAGGGTTGCTACATAAGAATGTATAAAAATACAATAGATGTAATTAACCATAGCATTCCTGTAGACATCATAATGTGTCTTTTAAATAATAGTTACTTTAAATTGGGGAACTTGGGGAGGAGAAGTTAGAAACAGATCTGAAGAGCAAAATTGCTTCCAGATTCAATGGATTTCTGGTGAAGCAGAAATATTTATTCTAATTAGCTCTTAAGTTCTAAAACAGCACTACTAATAAGGCACGATTTAATAACAAATTTTCAGAGTATGCACTGATTACAAGATAGGTCCCAATTTCAGAAAAAAATTAAATATGAAAAATAAAATGCTGCTTGCATTTGAGAAGATGAGTTTTTGATTTTTTGTTTTCTTAATCTAAGTAGTTTCTAGATCAAACTGGGGCTTTCTCTACTTATATCACATTGCTAATACTTCTAGATGCAGTAATTAGGAAGGAAAGATGGGTCTGTTTTAAGAGCTTTCCTTATGTTCATTTGGAAATTATGATAAATTCTGTGTTGTCTACTTCTGGAATTAGGTAATGTGGAGTTAGAAATTAGTTTCTTATATGCTTTTTTTTAATGTAAAATTAACTTAAGAAACTTCTGACTTACACAGAATTTATTTCAACAATGGGTTCTTTTAAAAATCCATTAAAATCAAATAAAAATCATTTTTAAATAAAAGCAAAATAGTATCTAAACCATAATGATTATAACAGATAATAGTGTTATTAGACAGGAAAAATCTTCTTAAATTAAAAATCATGAAATATCAACTTTCTAAAGTACTTTGCTATCTTTTGTCTAATAACCTAACAGGAAAACTTGGTAATCTTTCTGACTTCCTATTTATGATTTCACACTTAATTGAAGGACTACTGGTAAAGATTCCACTGTAACAGGAGGCAATATTTTAACAGAGCATGGTTGGTTTGCCCTAACTTAGCTAAACTGACTTATTTTAACTCATGAATTTGCTTCACAGGATTTCCTCGTGGAGGCTTCTACATTTGTCTTACTTCCACATCCTGAGAATTCGATGGGGTTGTAAAGGAGAGTTCTCTGTACACAGCCCTTTTCAGTGGTTTGGGAAGAAAGTCATGGCAGGGTTGGCCTCTTCACACGTTTTCTTTTTCATTTCTGCCATCCGGTCTGTCAAATTTTGTTGTTGTTTTCCCAGATGATATCTTTTATTCCCACCTCTACAGTTTAAATCCCAGCCTTTTATGGTTATATCTCCCACTTTTATCTGAATATTTTTGCCCTCAATATTTACTGTAAAACTGTAACACTCCTGGCATTGTTCTTGGCCCTTCCACATACATTGGCTCATTTG